AAACTTCATCCCGGAAGCCAGACTGTGTCGGAGACCAGGGGGCCCGACGAGGAAACCAGCTGAAAGAAGAAACCTCTTGGTCGATCACTGTCGCCCCGGCTGGGTGATCCGCCAGCGAACGGGACGGGCGTGCGAGACGGCTGCTGGGCCGGCCAGTCTGGTCCGCTGGGAAGGTTTTTTTTTCTCTTTCCTTTCTTTCACTTAGACATGCCATGACTCTGAGCGGCTCAGCGCTCCAGGGCGTCTCTTCAAAACCATCTCATCGAGACGAGACCCGTGCATTTGCCGCAAAGAGAGATCAACAGCATCGGCCCCCGAGGCAAGTTTGCTGGAAAGGAAGTCATTGCCTTCTCGAACCGAGTCGATACTGGTACAGAAGGGCCCAACAGGTGGGCGGTGACGGACGAGTGAGGTGGTGGTAAAATGAGCAAGAGGTGATGCAATCCATGCAGGGGTCAGAGCCTTAGCGTGCGCCAGTGCTTTCCCGAGTGGAGGTTAGCAGCTCGAGTAACGACGTCCATTGGTCAAGTCTACCACCCTAGTGGACAGTGCATCGGCCCGTCTGCATTGCTGAATCCCTGTCACAGACGTGGAATGACGAGACACTGGAAGGGGGGGGGGGGGGGGGGGAAGGCGCCCGTCATGTTAACACCCTAATTACGAGTACAACCCTCCAGTGGCTCCAGTGTTGAACCAAGTGTTTGGCAGGTGTCAAAGGACAGGAAGGAGTGCAGCAGAGACAGCGAAACGACGGAAGATGGGAGCAGAGTGAACATGCCTGTACGAGACTTGTCCACTGCAATTGGGAACTTGCCGTCTTCGATGCGATCGAGGGGAAGACATACCTCCCCAACCAGTCTTGCAGCACACCTCAGGTAAAAAGGACCCCTACCGCCCACAGCGGAGCAGGCAATAGGTCACGTCACCCCAGCACAGTACCAAGCAGGGTCCGGGCTCACGAACGCGCCACGCGCAGGGAGTGTTTCCCACGCGGTTGCAGGCACAGACGAGTCGTCGAGTCGGGAGACCTAAGGGGGATCTCTCGGTAAGGAGTAAGAAAGTGAGAGAGCGAGAGAGAGAGAGATGGTCGAACTTGAGGCTGATTAATACGACCGTTATTGCGTGCCGGAGGAGGGGAGGAGAGGAGAAAGTTCACCCGGATGTCGCAACGAGTCTGCACTGTGGCATTATCAATCCGCCCATCGTAAAAATCGCCACCCGATCACACCCAAAAGAGAGACAGAACGAGAGAAAGAGGGTGAGGTCAGCCAGGCAAGCCAGGCATACCATTAGGAAGAAACGCCCCGGAAACGGTACCGTGTGCAATACAGTCTTTGCACCTTTGCCTCGCTCCGTCTCAACGCCAGATGGGTCGAAAAACATCAAAGAAGGCCGGAAATGAGGCATGCTCGAAGCAAAATAGGGCCTCCATACACAGTCTGTCCGTTCCAGCGGCACACGGTAGCATGCGCAATAGGCTTGTACAACCCGTTTTGGGCGAGCGCCGTCGAGGTTCTCACAGGGTTGGCCCTGCCAACCCCGTCATCTCTCCCAGCAGTTTTCCGTGGAAGGAGGCAAGGAGGCCCCCCCCCCCCATCTTCCCTTGCCTATTGCCCCCAATGCCAGTCGACTCCTGCCCCGTATGTCTGGTCTCGGCGTAGGTAGCGCGCGCCGCCCTCGTTCCCATCTTTTCCACCCTCGTGCGCCTTCGCCCTTCTTTTTTTTTAAAGTCCACAACCGCAACGTCATACTTCCTGTGACGTCTGCCGTTTCTCCCCAAACAACACCCAAGCACGCTCAGCACTCCGTCGTCACCCAGTCACTCAACCACGCTTGTGCCTTTCACATCGACTCCGATCGCATCTGCGCCTTGTCGCATCGCAATCGCATCTCAGTCGGCATCTAATTCTATCCTTTTCGCCCTGTACTTTTTGTATTGTCGTCCATCAGTCGCACAACCTTCAGCCAGTCACCCTGACACTGGCGCTTGCCACTCACTCACCCAACCTTCTCTTCTCTCCCACATTTCTTTCTGTCAACCCTCCCTCACTTACTCGCCTCCTCACCTCCTCCCCACCCCTTTCGCCTCAACTTCCCTTCTCATGCCAGAAGGCTGAGTTTTGGACGAGAGCCAGAGCAGAGAGAGAGAGAGAGAGACAGGCAGAAAGAGAGTTTGTGTGTGTGTGTGACAACGATAGAAAAGAAAGATCGAGAGCGAGACGCGCTTGATCTGCCAGTCGCCAAAATCCCCCTTGGTCACTCGTGGCTTGCACAGCAACTGCAAGACTCTTCCACTCTACTTTTCACTTCCCCGATTCGTACCTAATCTCGAATCGTAACCCCCCAGAGGCGTGTCGACGAACCCTTACCCATCTCTGGTCCATCACCCAGCGCTGTGTTCCCGACCTCTGACCTCATCTGGCTTCCCACATCTCCTGCCCCCCGTCCACTTCTCAACTCTGCACCCCACAGACGTCGACGTCAACATCAACTGCCTTCGGTCGTTACCACCTCGGCCCCCTACCGCTACTACAGCCCTACCTCCAAGGTGTCTCGCAGTACACTACATCATACAACGTCATCGCCATGGGGACTTCACCGAACAATACCTCTGCTCGAGGTGACCCGAAGTCCCCCAAGAAATCGACGTCGCAAGGAACAACACCAGAACGTCAAGGTGGATCTGGTACGTGGTTGATCCCAATCCTTCACTCTCATCCCCATCGTCGACAAGTCCTATTGCCCCTTTTGTCATCGCACAATTGTCCTCTTGCTTACACATTGTTGTGTCTCCAGACTCTGCTTCCGACGCGAAACAGTCCGATTCGAGCTTGAAGAACGAATCCGACGGCGCGAAACCTCTTGGACCTCCCCCTCGACCAGCTCCAACGGGCAACACGCCTGACTATTTCGGAGGACCTCGCATCAGCGACAGCAACCTCAACCTGGAGCCCAATCCCTTTGAGCAGTCCTTCGGCGGCGGCAACGGCGCCGAAACGCCTGGAGGTACAAAACTGCCGTCTGTCGCCCACATCACTTCGCCCTCTGCTCTTCTGCCTGGGACCGGCACAACTCCCTTCAACTGGGGAGGCGGCTCGCTTCGAACAGGTCCTCTCAGCCC